TGTATTTCCCTGATAATGAGTGATGTTGAGCATTTTTTCATGTGTCATTTGGCCATCTGGATGTCTTCCTTGGAGAAGTGTCTATTCATGTCTTTTGACCATTTCTTCACTGGATTATTTGTTTTTTGGGTGTTGAGTTTGATAAGTTCTTTATAGATTTTGGATACTAACCCTTTATCTGATATGTCATTTGCAAATATCTTTTCCCATTCTGTCGGTTGCCTTTTAGTTTTGCTGATTGTTTCCTTCGCTGTGCAGAAGCTTTTTATTTTGATGAGGTCCCAGTAGTTCATTTTTGCTTTTGTTTCCCTTGCCTCTGGACACGTGTTGAGTAAGAAGTTGCTGTGGGCAAGATCAAAGAGGTTTTTGCCTGCTTTCTCCTCGAGGATTTTGATGGCTTCCTGTCTTACATTGACATCTTTCATCCACTTTGAGTTTATTTTTGTGTATGGTGTAAGAAAGTGGTCCAGGTTCATTCTTCTGCATGTCGCTGTCCAGTTTTCCCAGAACCACTTGCTGAAGAGACTGTCTTTATTCCACTGGATATTCTTTCCTGCTTTGTCAGAGATTAGCTGGCCATATGTTTGTGGGTCCATTTCTGGGTTCTCTATTCTGTTCCATTGATCTGAGTGTCTGTTTTTGTGCCAGTACCATACTGTCTTGATGATTACAGCTTTGTAATATAGCTTGAAGTCTGGAATTATGATGCCTCCTGCTTTGGTTTTCTTTTTCAAGATGGCTTTGGCTATTCTAGGTCTTTTCTGGTTCCATACAAATTTTAGGGTTATTTGTAACCCACTGTTTCTCGAACTCATTAACCCAGGTACTATTTTTTCTTTAGGATATACCTGTTGTCATCTTCCAGATGTACAAACTTTTTCTGTAAAGGGCCGGATAGTAAACATTTCAGGCTTTGTGGGCCATATGATCTCTGTTGTAACTGCTCAGTCTGCTGTTAATGCAAATGCAGCCATTGATAGAAAATGAGTGGACATGGCTGGCTCCAATAAAATTTTATTTACAAAAATAGGTTGTGGGCCAGATTTGACTCATGTAGTTTGTAGGTTGCCGACCCCTGTTCTAGAACAAGCATCCTGCAGTACCTTCTTTGGGAGACGCTGTTTGAAGTGTTCAGGGAGTCCTAGATAGGGATTGAAATCTCACCTTCCAGAACGGTTGGTGTGAGTGGCAATGTCTTGTCGAGTGTGGTTCAGTGGTTGAGTGCCTTGCTTAGGGTATATGACTGTGAAGTGCCACGACAGAGATGGCACCTAGGCTTTAGACTATAAATTTTATTTATTCTTCACTGTTCTCTGCTACTTTGGAGTGAAAGCCCCAGGAAGGGGACAGAACACACTGAGTGACTGCTCTGTGTAATTGAAGTAATATGCACATAGGTACATGTGGGTGTGTGCATGCAAGTTGGTCTCAGTGTGATCATGGTCTTTGTATTATTAAGCATCAGTGTGGCTGATAGATAAGTTATCCATTTAGACGTCTTTGTTTGAAAACACCTAATGGGAGATGCTGAAGAAATTCACCGCTGTTATTTGAATTGAGGTCTGTGGTGATAAATCAGGAATATATTCAATGAATGTGCAAGAACTTATAAAACATGTAACATGTGCCCTTGCTTTAATGGAACTTTTGGTTGCAGGCAACAGAAACCAGCAGAAGCGGGTGGTAATGAAAATAGAGTTTGTTTAAAGATGCACAGTGTTCTGTGAAACCCAAGTGGGGAAACGCTGTTAGCCTCATGATGGCCAAGAACCGGGATCTGGGTTGTTAGGGATCCTGGGTGTGTTCTAGACATCAGCTGGTGTACTTTCTCTCATTTTGGCTTCTTTTTGCATATCTGCTTCACTCTTCCTGCTCTACTATTTCTTCTCTGGCTATTTTCTGATATTTCTACACGACAGGCAAACAATGGGTGCTGGCAGCTCCCAAGTTCATGTTTCATTTGGAGGTGAACACACGGAAAGACCATCTCTTGTTCATTCTCTTTTTTCATTGGTTTTCTTTTCTTCCTCCTTCCCTTCATTGTTGCTAGAGAAGGGACTCTGATTGGCCCAGCTTAGGTGGTCCCTGAACCAGTTGGTGTGGCCAGTGACATGGGGTTAACATCAGAACTGTGTCAGCCAGAATCCCACCCCTGTCGGTGGGCAGGCACTTTCCAAAGAAGAGGGTCTACCATAGCCCTGCCCTGGCTGGGCACTGAGCAGGTGCAAGGTGAAGTAGACTGTTTCTATCCACTGACATTTGTAGACTAGTTGGAAAGTAAAACATACATACTAGTGATGAGAGTGTCAGGTGTGCTAAATTGTTTCATTGAACAGTGAAGCAGGTAATGGTATAAATAAGGGACTAATTTTGCTGTTTGTACAGACGTTGAATGCAAAAAGAGAGGGAAGGCCTGTGTGGGCTCACATCACCAGAAAGGGCTTTAGGCAGTAAAGATATGTTCTCTGAAGATGGATGGGGAGCAAAAAATTCTGGCTAGGGAGATGGGCATGGACAAGGATATAGAATTATAGGTCTAAATGTAGTCAGGTCTTAACAAGAAGATTTCTTAAGAGGTGGGAGGTGGCTTTAGAGGGCAGTGGGATGCACACTCTGGGTAGTAGGAAGCATAGCTGGAGACGGCCCACTGTGGTCAGGTTAACTGTAGCAACAGGACACAGGAGGGGCTGTAACAGGAGGGGCTGGAAGCTAGAGCTATGCCCCCTTCGGGGAGGGGACTCCCAGCTCCACATGGGCAAGAGAAAGTCCAGGCTGGCAGGTGCAGGTCTACATAGGGGGGAGTGTTGGATATCTGGGCTGGGGGTACCCTGTGGTGCTCGCAACATAGGGCAAAAACCAGGTCCTGGCCATGGCAGTGGTTAAATCAGGGCAAGCTCCAGGCACTGGGTATTAGAGCGATACTGTTGCTGGAGGGTGGGACAAAGCAGGACTTGAGAGAATGCGGATTGGGGTACAGGACAGAAACCCCAGGAATCTGAAATGAGCCATGAGGCTGCAGCAAGCCTAACCATGAGAAGAATGGAGTTGCTTTGTCTTACTACAAACTATCCTTTTCCCTTTCCCTCATTACAGCCTTCCTGTGCTCCCTTCCCCTGCTCAGGACCTTGCAGCCTGTGATTGGCTAGTCATTTGGAGATCCATGACTGATGTGGCTTGAGCTCTCACCCCGTTTTAGGAACTTCTGCCTTGGAACAGAAGCTATAAACACCTCAGACCAAAAGAACGATGGTGCCTGGGATGTTAGGACAAAGACACTAAGTCCAATATCAGAGATTCCATCTGTGCCCCTTTGTGGAGAGAACTGTCATTTGGAGACAGAATGAGCAAACAGGATGCCTGCCGTCTGGCAGTGAGGAAGGTGAGGAAGCGTTAGCCCTGGATCTGAACACTTTTAGAGCAGCCGATGTGGGGCTGTCCCATAACAACTAGGCAGCATCTTTAGGGAAGAAAAAGCCCCCGGTGTAGGTACCGTCTGAGAGCCACTTAGCTTCAGAGGAGGCCTTGTCTTGCTGCTTGTTTGCAGCTCATGAAAGTGTGGTGGGAAACATGCAGGACTTGGAGTTGCAGGATCAGGAGTTGAATTCTTTTTTTTTTTTTTAATTTATTTTGAGAGAGAGTAAAAAGTACGAGTGGGGGAGGGGCAGAGGGGGGTGGTGGGGGGAGAGAGAGAATCCCAAGCAGGCTCTGCACTGCTAGTGCAGAGCTCAACTTGGGGCTCGAACCCACAAACCACGAGATCATGACCTGAGCTGAAGTTGGTCACTCAACTGACTGAGCCACCCAGGTGCCCCAGGATTTGAATTCTTGATGGGCCACTCCCCTCCCTGTGTGAAGATACTCAATCCTCCTGAGTATATAGAGGTCACAGTATCCACGGTGATAGCCTGTGTGCCTGTCTCTGCCACATGGTAGGTGCTCAGTACATAGGTGTCACATCTGAGTCTTCAGTCTTAGTTAGAAGCACAGAATTTGCCTGAATGCCCATGCTGGACTGGAATTCCTGACAGCCTTGAAGCTTCTGACTGGAACTTCCAGTAGCAAGGGACTGACCACCTCATAAAACAGACAATCCTGTTGTTGGAAACGTTTGTTAGAAAGAGCTTCCTTGAATAGAATTGCAAGGCACCTCTGTCTTTTGGAACAACTCAAAATAAGTCTAAGCTGGCTGATTCATGCATGGTAACATTTCCACTATTTGAAGACCAATCTTAAGTACTCCTAAGTCAAGGGTGGGAAATAGTTTATATCTAATGTATCATCTGTGCCCCTTTATGGAGAGAACTCTTGTTTAGAGTTGGTATGATCCCCAACTGAGTGCCAACTATGATGGATTGGTAGTGGCTGCTAGAGGGCTGTGTTGAGAAGGTTTCTGGGACTGTGCTCCAAGGTCGGTAGGAAAAAATAGCCAGTCTGCCATGGGCTCAGGTGTGGGCAGTGGTGACTTATGTACAAGGTATTTGTTTTCTCTGCTAAGCATTTTGATACTTAGATTCTTCTATTGTGCCCTAGATAACTTGTTCCCTGACCCTCTGGTCTCTTTTTCCTGCCACATTTCAGCTTATCAACATTTTAAAAGCCATCTGGCTGCCATTATCTTCCACCTAATTCATTTCTAGGGTGGATTTAACCAATCTGGCTAGCAGGGCTGAGGTCTCTCCTAGAGCAGTGTTTCTGGGAAATCTTCCCAAATAGATGAGGGCCAGTTTTGAGTCTGCAGGCCACTGATAAACCTTCCAAATTATTAATATCCCTTAAAATATGGAGACCAGGCTAAGCAGCGTCTTTCAGAAGTACTCTGAACAATATGGAGGCCAGCGTGACTAATAATACATCCCTTGATCCTGTTAATGCAGCTTAAAGGCTGCGTTAGCTTTCTCCCAGTGTTTGTAAAGCTGAAGCTCAGAGACTCTGCTCTTGACTCTGAGGTTGATGCGGGGGGGAGAGGGAGGTGGTGGGGGGGAAGGGCAAGGAGAGCCAGACCCAGCCAGGACAACATCTCCTCCTGTCCCTACTGTGCCAGCCCCCTGTGCTCTCCTCCTGTCCCATGTGGGTAATGACCACTGGCACAGGGCTCATTGAGGGAGGAAGAACTTCCACCGGGCTGGGGGACTGCCCTGCTTCCTTTTTTTCCCCCGCCATTGTACTTCTCTGTCTTATGCTAGCCCCCACCCGTCTCCTCCTTGTCTCTGTGACTCTCTTGGTGGTTTGGCTTCAACAAGGCTGGGGCCTGCAGCCAGCACAATGAGGTCCAAAGGCCCAGGTCTCCTTCTGTCATAGTGAGGTTGTCTGCTCTAAAGTTCCCCAGACCACTGTCAGTCTGTGTGTGAAGTGTCTCCCAGTCTGCAACAACGTGAAAAAAATAAGGACAATGCAGGGATTTTTCCCTTAAAGCTAACTGTATGTGATTAAAGACCTGCCTTATATTCTAAACATTGTTCTTCCTTTCTGATGTGTGTGTGTGTGTGTGTGTGTGTGTGTGTGTGTGTGTGTGTGAGAGAGAGAGAGAGAGAGAGAGAGAGAGAGACAGAGAGAGAGAGAGAGAGAGACAGACAGAGAGACAGAGAGAGAGAGAAATTATACTGTCTTGAACAATTGGGGTAGTTTTTCTCCCTAATAACTTTTGTAATATTGGCCACCCTTTGTAGACACCCCCTCATACTTTTTTGGGTGGTGGAGGTGGATTTTACTCGACTATGAAATCTGGTCTGAAAACTGCAGCCTCGTCCAAGGAGAGGCCCATCAGGACTCGATATGCTCCCTGGGATTGCAGAGGGAGGGGGTGGTCTGGAAGATGCAATCTGGTATCCCAGTGAGGCCACTGAGGCACAGGATTGGGGCATGGGTCACTTTTTAAAAAAAAAAATTTTTTTTTCAACGTTTTTATTTATTTTTGGGACAGAGAGAGACAGAGCATGAACGGGGGAGGGGCAGAGAGAGAGGGAGACACAGAATCGGAAACAGGCTCCAGGCTCCGAGCCATCAGCCCAGAGCCTGATGCGGGGCTCGAACTCACGGACCGCGAGGTCGTGACCTGGCTGAAGCCGGACGCTTAACCGACTGCGCCACCCAGGCGCCCCTAGGTCACTTTTATTAGTAGTTTAAATTTCCCACAGCTCAGTTTATTTTAAAAGCAGCATTGTTTGGGATTATGGATTTGGGAGACTCTGTTAATGAGTGCCTGCCTTGCCAGTTTTTAGCATGGTTCTGGCAAGTGACTTAGCCCCTCAGTGTCTCAGTTTCTTTGTCTGTTTAATCAGAACCGTGGTGTCCTTCTCCTAGGGCTGTTGTGAGAATGACAGTTCACGACATTGTTTAGCTGCAAGGAGCTATCAAATGTTGTCCTTTATTGGAGTCATTTCTGACAACGTTCAGCTAGTGCTTCTCAGGGCTTCTACTAGTCTGCGGACATTCAGGGTTTGAAGGGTGGTGGGGGACTCAGGGAAGCATCAGAGATGATGAGTGGGCGATCAGAGATGATGGGACTCAGGGAAGCGATCAGAGATGATCACAGGGCATGTGGGGCCAGGCGAGTCTTCTTTGAGTGGACTGTCCCATGCATTGTAGCTGTTAAGCATCCCTGGGTCCCTGCCCAGTAAATGCAGGCATCACTCCCCAGTTTTTGTAGCTTACCTCTATGAGTTCCGCATTCCCCTTGGGCTGGTTCTGTTTTAGGGCAGAGCCACTAGTTGGGCGCTCTGGAGTGGTCTGAGGCAGTTAAGTCGATGCAGTGTGGAAGAGAAGAGTCTTTAGAGAATGGCCCAGGGGGCTGATACTCCTAAACTGTGCCTGTTAATGCTTGGTATTCTGGTTTTCTTGGTGTTGGACAGAGAAAGAGCTTGGTGTCACAGAGGGAGCACAACACAGAGAGGCAGGAGATCTGTACTCAGGCTCCAACCTCGCTATTGCCTAGTTGGGGGACCTTGAGAAAATTTCTTCCCTTTGTGGGTCTCATCTGTAAAATGAAGGCTATGGAGAAAACAGTCTTCTATGGCTCCAGGCTTTATGGCTTCAGGCTCTGAAGGGAAATGGCTTAGATTTGAGTGAGGCCAAAGGAAGCACTTTCTACCTGTCATGCTCTGAAGAGGGGGAGTAGGCCTGACTGCTTACCTCTGTCTGGATTGGAAAAGATGAAATCTGATAGGGAGGCCGGGCCTGGAAGGACTGACCTACTGAAGTAGCTGCCTAGACCAGTTCTCGTTTTAAAAATTGTTTGTTTAAATTTAGCTCATTTTTTGAATATGTAATACAGACACATATAAAGCAGTCTAAATATAATGGGAAGTGTTCCCTCGCATCCACCCAGCTCCCCTGCCCCAAAGGCCACTTCAGTTTATCCTCCCAGGGATATTTCACTCTCAGTTTCTGTGACCCGAGACTGAGATGATAGTTTTAAACATGCCGTGGTTGTTATGCCTTTAGCTTTCTGGTTCTGAAGGGTGAGAAATTTGATCCTCCTGTAGCATGTGGTTAGTTTCCTACAATGAATTTTCCCCTATTAGTCATAGTTTCTTTTTGCCACTCTTGGGTAGAGATACAGCCTTTTTCATCTCTCTCCATTTTCCCCCACTCTCAAGTGCCCTGTCCTTCATTTGAATCAGGGAATTCCTCAAACACAGATCAAACTCGAGACAGGACATCTGGATGCCTTGCCTCTTCTCCCATCCATGGGTTTCAGAGGGAAACATTTTACGTAATTGTCTATTTTGATGATTTCCAAAATGGTGCCAAAGCCTTATATTCTTTTTTGTCTTGGAGCTTAACCCAATCCTGCAAGTAACTGCTTTGTTTCTCATCTGGTGTTGTAAAGTGTATGCCCAGAGAGTGGGAAGCACTGTTGGAGGTTAACTGTGTAGTAGGAGAACTCCAGACTCAGAAGGGGAAAACCTGGGTTTGAGTGCAAAATAAGTCTCTTTCTTGCTGTGTGATCTTTGGCAAACTGCTTGGCCTCTCTGAACCTGTTTCCTCATCTGTAAAATGAGGGTTGCGCTACCTGCCCTTTACAGCTGTTTTTAAGGTTATGTAGGGCAATGAATGTGAGTATACTTCGCAAACTGTTAAGAGCCTTACAATTGTAATTCTTTAAAAAAGTATATATTAAGTGTCTGTTGTGTTCTTGACACTAGAAATAGTGTGGGAAATGAGCTTATATTCTGCTGTGTGTGTGGTGGGTAGTGTAAGGGCATAAGGGAAAGCAGGGAGACTGGCAGTAAAAAAGTTGATAATCAGACAAATTTAGATAATGGTAATTATTACAAAGAAAATAAAACAGTAATGGAATAGAGATGGAGGGAAGGGGATTGAAGTTCTTGTTAAAAGAGCAGGAAAAGCCTCTCTAAGTTTACACCTAGATGTCATGTGAAAAGCTGGTAAGCTGACTCCAGGCCTAGGAAACAGCAAGTGCAAAGGCCCTGGGGCAGGAACAACAGCTTTGGAGAATTAAAAAAAAAAGAAAGAAAGAAAAAGGGAGAATGAACTGTAATAAAGTGGATATAGCAGAAACAAAGTGAGCATGATAGAGAATGTCACAAGAAGTGGGGGAGAGGGTGGCCAGAATAGGGTCATAAAGGGCCTTGTGGACCATGTTAAGAACTTGTATTTTATACTATGTGCAATGAGAGATTGTAAGCAGGGAGATGACATGCTCAATTTTCTCCTTTTGAAAGACCTTTCCTCCTGGAATGTGGAGAAGAGATTGTTGGTAGGCAAGGCAAGGCACTGAGGCGAGTTAGGAGCTATTGTAGCAGCCTAGGCACGCGATGATGCCTGCATACCGGAAAAAGCACAGCTAAAATCATCCTTGAGGTATTTGGCTATGAAGCTCATGTAACAGTTTTCATATGAAAAGGGTAGTCTCCTGGTGTGAAGTAGGATGTTCCCTCTTTTCCTTTTGCCCATCTGCTTTGCTCTCTCTTAGGAGTATGGAAGGCGTTGAAGTGGGCAGGGGTTCCTTTTCAGATGGTCCAGGGGTTGGGACTACATGGTCCTATAAGTAATCAGCAAATACTTACTGATTATAGGAAGATTTTTTGAGGCCTTTGGTTTTCACTTCAGGTCAGCCTTTACTGGGGACAAACAAGAAGCCTGGCAAGGCAGAGTCTACATGATTTGTACCGTCGATGGGCACAAGGAGCAGCAGTGATCACCAACACAGGGCCACCCAGATGGCAGTGCAGGCTGTCCCCTACACAAGGGTACCTGGCTGAGAGGTGGGTCTGCAACCCAGTCCACACTCTGCTCACCAAGCAATTTGCCCTGGTGTGGAGCTATTATCAGCAGGGAGAAAGTGCTGGCAGCAGGGCACCATCTGGTTTAGCAGTAGCCCTTCCCAAACTCTTAGGGTTTCTGCTTGGTGGCCTGTTTTCCAGAGTCTGTCTTCACCTTCTGTATTTGAGTCAGTCAGCATTTCCCTGAACAAACATTTATTGACCACCTACTGTGTACCAGTTACCGGGTTTCCATTAATGGGCAGACAGACACACTTCCTGCCCTCACGAAGCTTATAGTCTACTGGAGTTCACTCCATCTTTCTTTCTTTGTAATAGCTGGAGAGCTTCCTTTTGGGGAAGCCTGGGCTGATCTCAGTTCCTCCCAGTAACTCTGAGTCATGAGATGTTGGCACCTGACTTGGAGGCACCTCTTGGAGCTGGGCAACAATGACCACCAGCCACCATACACAGGCATCTCAGTCCAGATTTTCAGGGGGATGGGACCAGCGTGGCAATGGACTGTTATTAGTACGGCCCCTTCATTCACCTCTGATTAAGAGAAGCAAAAGAAAAAAAAGAAAAAAAAAGAGTGGCACGATGGTTTCCATTGGAAAAGGGAAAGATTTGTCCTTGAGACTCAGAGTCTTTTGAGTAGAGTTTAAGCTCTACTTAAAACATGTACACTATTCTGTATGTCTATTACACTTCAGTAAAAAGTTAAGAAAATAGTACAGTTTATAGAGCTGCCAGGGTCTGAGCTTAGAGAAATGAAAACAGGGAGGTGGGTCAGGTATATAGGTGAGGACTTCCTGGGGTCTCTGTATCTTGCTTGATAGGGTCCTCAGGCCCTTGACTTCATTCTTCAGCCTTTTTTTTTGTTGTTGTTGTTAAGTTTATTTTTCAGGTGGGGGAGGGGCAGACAGAGAGAGGGAAAGAGAGAATCACAAGCAGGCCCTGCAGCACTGTGCATGAGGAGCCCAGCGCCGGGCTGGATCTCACAAACCCTGAGATCGTGGCCTGAGCCGAAATCAAGAGTTGGGCGCTTAACCGACTGAGCCACCCAGGCACTCCTCATACTTCAGCTTAATGAATAATCAGATTATTTTTATCAGCCTTTGAGAAATCCTCCCCCCCCCCTTTATTTTTTTTGCCAGGCTAACTCAAAAGAAATTCCTTTATAAGCAAGGTATCCATAGATAGGTTAACACTGAGGGATGTACTTCTCCAGGGCATATTCATCTCCCCAGCTTTAAGGTGGCTGGCTGGGAAACAGAATTAGTCATTGTTTGGGGAGCTTGGAATGAGAGAAAGGCAGAGATGGGTGGTTTTCAGATTTTTTTTTTTTTTCCAGGCTGCGGTGGAGCCAGGAGAATGAGAGATCCCATACATCTTGTGACCAGATGTGGCATTTGTAACTGGGACTCAGCAGTATCAACAAAACTGAGTCAATTTAAAACACACCACTGCTTTACTTACGTATTTAATTTTTACATTATATTTTTTTAGGTTACAAAAGTAATGCCCATTTCCCCCTAATGTCTTATTTTTAATTTTAGTTGAATTGAATTTATTTTTATTTAAAAATTTTTTTAAAATTATTATTATTATTTATATTTATTTTTTATTTATTTATTTTATTTTTATTTATTTTTTAATTAAAAAAAATTTTTTTTTCAACATTTATTTATTTTTGGGACAGAGAGAGACAGAGCATGAACGGGGGAGGGGCAGAGAGAGAGGGAGACACAGAATCGGAAACAGGCTCCAGGCTCTGAGCCATCAGCCCAGAGCCTGACGCGGGGCTCGAACTCATGACCGCGAGATCGTGACCTGGCTGAAGTCGGACGCTTAACCGACTGCGCCACCCAGGTGCCCCTATTTTTTAATTTTTAAAAAATTAAAAAAATTTTAATATATTTATTTTTATTTTATTTTATTTTTTTACCCCCTAATGTTTTATTAAGAAAATGTTCAAACATCTAGCAAAAATACCTAATTTAAAAAAATCATATATATATATATATGAAGTACACCATAAAGAAAGTAAAGTGTTCTTATAATCCTACCTCCTGGAGAGAACACTACTGTTACCGGTTTCCTATAGATTCCTCCGGAATTATTTTCTGTGTGTATACTAACATATATTATGATTGCCTTAACAATCATTTAATATTATTCATACTATTTCATCTCTTTTAAAAATATTTAAGTTTTGGGGTGCCTGGGTGTCTCAGTTGGTTGAGCATCCGACTTCGGCTCAGCTCGTGATCTCGCTGTCTGTGAGTTCGAGCCCCATGTCGGGCTTTGTCCTGACAGCTCAGAGCCTGGAGCCTGCTTTGGATTCTGTGTCTCCCTCTCTCTCTGCCCCTCCCCTGCTCATGCTCTGTTTCTCTCTCTGTCAAAAATAAATAAGCATTTAAAAAAATGAAAAAAAATATTTAAGTTTTTCTTGGGCATCCTTGCATGTGAGAATTTATTGATTTATCTCATTCTTTTTCTTTTTAATGTTTATTTCTGAGAGAGACAGAGCATGAGCCAGGGAGAGGCAGAGAGAGAGGGAGAGAGAGAATCCCAAGCAGGCACAGAGACTGATGAGGATCTCACAAACCTCGAGATCATGACCTGAGCCAAAATCAGGAGTTGGATGCTTAACCGACTGAGCCACCCAGATGCCCCTGTTTCATTCTTTTTTTTTTTTTTTTTAATTTTTTTAATCTTATTTATTTTTGAGAGAGAGACAGAGTGTGAGCAGGGGAGGGGCAGAGAGAGAGGGAGACACAGAATCTGAAGCAAGCTTCAGGCCCTGAGCTGTCAGCACACAGCCCAACATGGGGCTTGAACTCATGAACTGTGAGATCATGACCTGAGCTGAAGTCGGACACTCAACTGACTAAGCCACCCTGGTACCCCTGTCTCATTATTTCTGAAAAAATAGTTTTACTGACGTATAAATTATGTACCATAAAATTCACCTGTTTTAATTCATTGACCTGTATAATTTGTTGACTTTTTAGTAAATTTTCAGAATTGTGCAACTAACACTGTAATCCAATTTTAGAACATTTCTTTCACCCCCTAAAATATTCCTTGTGCCCATTTGCAGTCACTCCCTGTCCTCATCTCTGTCACCAGGCAACCACTAATCTATTTTTTGTCTCTATAGATTTGCCTTTTATGGGCTTGCATATAAACAGAATAAAAAAAAATATTTTTCTGTGTGTAGCTCCTCTTAACAAACAAAATGTTTCTGAGGTTCATTCACATGACAGACCTTTGTTCCTTTTCAACAGTATTACATTTTAGGATAGTGTACATTTTGTTTATCTACCAGTTGGTAGATATTTGGATTGTTTCTAGTTTTGGGCTAGTATGAATAATGCTGCTACAGACATTTATGTACAGATCTCTGCACAGACGTAGGTTTCATTCTTTTTGAGTGCCTATATAGATTTCCATTTTATGGCTGTATAACAGTGTGTTCGGCCAAATCTTACTGTTTGTTTTTTGTTTTTGTTTGATGAACAAATAATGCTGTGTTGAACATCATTTTTTTTTTTTTTAAGATTTTATTTTTTTTAAAGTAATCTCTACACCCCGCGTGGAGCTTGAACTCATGACCCCAAGATCAAGATCAAGAGTTGCATGCTCTTCTGACTGAGCCAGCCAGGCGCCCCTGTACTGAACATCCTTGTACATTTATCTTTATGTGTGAATGTTTTTGGAAGATATATATTTAGAAGGGGAAGTTCCAAGTCAACAGATGTAAACATTTGAAATTTCAATAGCTAGTATCAAATTGTCTTCCAGGAGAAGTTGCACCAACTTCTATCTCCTGCCCCTGGCAACGGGTGAGAGTGACTATTTTCCCTTGTATTTGTCAGTGTAAGCAAGAATGAACGTTTTCGTTTTTCTTTTCTTTTTTTTAAAAAATTTTTTTTTCAATGTTTATTTATTTTTGGGACAGAGAGAGACAGAGCATGAACGGGGGAGGGGCAGAGAGAGAGGGAGACACAGAATCGGAAACAGGCTCCAGGCTCTGAGCCATCAGCCCAGAGCCCGACGCGGGGCTCGAACTCACGGACCGCGAGATGGTGACCTGGCTGAAGTCAGACGCTTAACCGACTGCGCCACCCAGGCGCCCCACGTTTTCGTTTTTCTAATCACATAAATGAAAAATGTCTTATTGTCATTTTAATTGGTATTTCTTTTATTATTAGAGCGGTTTTGACCATTTGTTTGTCCATTGAGTTTTTTAATCTTTTTCCTATAGCTCTGAAAGAACTCTTTGTATTTTAGGAAATTGGCCTTTTGCTTATAAAATCTACTGCAAGTTTTTCATTCCTCAGCTTATCCTTTTTTTTTTCCCTCAAAAATTCTGTTCATGGTAGTTGTGCTACACACAGATGTTTTACATTTTTAAGTAATCATATCTGTTAGGGATAAAAAAAATCTGTGAACATTTTACAAGTATCACTTAGATATTTATAATATTCCCATAAGGAGGTGAGGAAGGTAAAATATTGATGGGGGAGAAAGCTGAGGAATGTTCTATGCGCTTCATCTACCAAACATCTGGATGGTTAAGAGATTCTTTTCAGTGCTTTATGTGGTTGTTTTGGTGTCCTTTAAGCACAGACACTACATATTAGTGCAAAACCCAAGAAGTAAATCTGGATAATTTTTGCTTCCCAGACCCTTGCTAGTAATAATTATGACAGCTGATATGAATTGAATGCATACTGTATGCCATTGGTTGCCATTAATCCATGCTGTCACTCTGTGAGATTTTTTTCCCCATGTAAAAAGTTATTTCCCCGTGGAAAAAGGCACAGGGATCTTTAGGTAACTTGCTCCGTCATACAGCTAGCAGATGCTGAGGCTGGCAATCAGATCTTGGCCCAATGGAGGGAGGTTGGGATAGTGGGAGAAAGGAGGTGCCTCAAGCCCCAGCTCTGAAGTCAAAATGGTTTATAGGTTGGGGCACTTGGGTGGCTCAGTCGGTTGAGTGTCTGACTTCAGCTTAGGTCATGATCTTGTGGTTCTTGAGTTCAAGCCCCATATTGGGCTCTGGGCTGACAGCTCAGAGCCTGGAAGCCTGTTTTGGATTCTGTGTGTGTGTGTGTGTGTGTCTCTCTCTCTGCCCTTCCCCCACTTATGTTCTGTCTCTCAAAAATTAATAAGTGTTAAAAAAATTTTTAAAAAATTGTTTCTAGGTGGGCGTTGCTCTGCCTGGGATGTTTTGAGCCTGAGCTATCCTGTAGGTTAACCTGGATAGGTCTGGGGATATTGAAGGCCTAGAAAGGATATGGTCAAAATCCATAAAAACCTTGGGGAGGATTCAGGGTGGGCATACATTTACTGATTTATTAGTTACTCAGGAAGCCTAGGGTACCAAGGGCAACTGTGGCACGGGGGCACAAAGATGAAGCCTGCTCTCAGGAACTCACTGTCTGGGTAGGGAAAAGGGATCTGTTCAAAGATTACTTGAACTAAAGTAGAGACGTGACTCAAGAGGTTCAGATAAAGAGCTGGGAGGCAGAGGAGAAGGAGCACAGACTTCACAGTGAT